CAGCAGCCGTAGCAGCAGCAGCAGCAGCAGCAGCAGCAGAAGCGGTTTCTCCCGCCCGGGTTCCCGCAGCGGCTTCGGGCCTAGCTGCTGCTGCTGTTGCCTGCGAGGCTGCTGGCATTTGCTGCTGCTGGGGGCCCCACCTGTGACCTCTGTCAAGATCTTTTGAATTTCTGCTGCTAAACCCTCTGGGGTTTTTCCCCGCAGCTCCAGCTCCCGGCTCAGCTCGGGCTCTTCCTCCAGCCTCTCTTTGATTGTCTCAAGAACCTCTGACTCGGAAATCTCCCCCAGAGTCTCTCCTTTTTCCATGGCAGCAGCAGGGGGCCCTTCCCTGCGGGCCCGCCTGGGGGCCCCCCTGGGGGCCCCTGTGGGGGCCCCCTTGGGGCCCCCTGCGAGGGCCCGCTGGGCCGCCCTGCGTTCCATCTGAATGAGCTCCCGGACTTCTTCCTGTTCTGCTGCTGCTGTGGCGCTGTCTACTCTTCTGCGTCTTCCCTTTTTGAGGGACTTGAGCAGTTGGGCCTCCGACTTAGCGAAAAAAGAGTCAACTTCAGCAGCACTTAAATCCCCCCCCTGGTCGCCAGGGGGCTCTGCAGCCCCCAGGGGGGCCCGGGGGGCCCCTGGGGGCCCCCCAGGGCCCTGGGCCTGGGGGGCCCCTAGGGCCCCGGGCTCCTGGGGCCCCCCGTATGCCCTCAGCTCCCGCTGCAGGAACTCTGCAGGGACCTCCAGCTCCTCCTCGAGGCTTTGCTGCTTCTCGAGGTTATCCGAGTCTGAGGGATTTGAAGCTGCTGCTTCAGGGGCCTGCGCTGCTGCTGCACCTGCTGCTGCTGCTGCTGCTGCTGCTGCAGCGGGCGCCTGTGGGGCAGCTGCCTGCGCTGCAGCAGGGGTTCCTGGCGCCGCCGCCGCCTCCGCCGCTGCCGCAGCAGGTTCCCCCGCTGCAGCAGCAGCAGCAGCAAGCGTGCGAGCAGCAGCAGCAGGCTGCTTTTTGTGCGGGCTGGGAAGCAAGTTCTTAAGAGGCACTTGCTGCATCTTGGGCAGCCCGTCAGGCCCGAAGACCGGAACTTCTGCTGCTGCTAATCCGGCCCGGAGAGCTTGCTGCCGAGCATCTTGCTGCAACATCTCGGGAGTCACCAGCCCCGACTCTTCCTTTAGCAGTTGCCGCGCCTCCTGCAGGCTGAGGTCGTCTGCGCTGCGGCGCTGGAACCTGAGAAGCAGCAGCAAACGCCGCACAGGAAACTAAACAGCAGCAGCAGCAGCAGCAGCAGACCGAGGCACGGCGGCAGCAGCAGGGAGCAGCCGCAGGGGCAGCAGCAGAAGCAGGGAGCGTTTGCAGAGGCGGGAGCAGCAGCAGGGGGTTTCGACGAGGCAGCAGCTGCGGCAGCAGTCATTTGGAGAAGCAGCAGCAGCAGCAGGAAGCATTTGGTGAAGCAGCAGCAGCAGCAGCAGAGAGCAGGGCATTTGGGGGGACCTGGGATGCCGCTTGCGGGCCCTTCGCTCCTGTTCCTGCAGCAGCAGCAGCTCCTTTCGCCTCTTCTCCGCCTCCAGCAAAGAAAGGGCCTCCTCAACATCTGCTGCAGTATAGCCCGGGAAAAGGACCTGCAGCTGCTTCTCCGTGGGGGCCCCCTGCCCGCTGTGCCTCTGGGGCGGGGTCACAACAACACCAGCAGCAGGGGGCCCCCCGGGGGCCCCAGGGGCCCCCTGCTGCTGCTTCTGCTGCTTCTTTCGGTGCCGCTCCAGCAGCTTCAGCGCAGCCCCAATCCGCGCAAACTTCTCCTCTGGTGATTCCCTCGGGGGGACCCCCACCTGCATCTGCAGCATTTGCTGCTTCCACTGCTGCAGCCGCTGCACTTCTGCTTCGCAGCGCGTCGTCAGCTGAATCCTGCGCACCCCGACACAGCAGCAGCAGACACACGCAGCACCCTTGAGGGCTCTGCAGCGGGGCCCCCTATTGACCCTCTGTGGGCCCCTGTGGGGCCCCCCATGTGGGGGCCTCCCCCATGAGGCCCCCTGGAGGCCTCCCCCATGAAGCCTCCTGTGAAGCCCCCCATGAGGCCCCCTGTGGAGCCCCCTCTATGGGGGCCCATATGGGCCACCCTGTGGGGCCTCCTGTGGGGCACCCTGTGGAGTTAGGGCTGCGGCGAAGTGCCAGTGCATGCAACTTCGGGGCTGGAAAGCCCCACAAACGAGCACCTGCTGCGGCTGGCGTCTATCTCTAAGACCCGGAGGCCCCTCAAAGTGTCCCCCGTGCGGCAGCCCAGGGCCTCCGCGGGGCCCCCGTCGGGGGGCCCCTGGGGCCCCAGAGGGTCCGCAGGGGGGCAGCGCCGGCCCCGGGCCCCCCGGCTCTTCTTGAAGCGCCGGAACAGCTCCTGCACGTCGTCGCAGATGTTTTCTCTTCCAACTTCGTTCTGCAGCAGCACACACACGTTTTGCTGCTGCTGCGCTGCTGCTAGTGGCCCGCTTGGGGCTCTTTGGGGCCACCTGGGGGCCTCCAGGGCCTTCCGGGGCCCCCCGGGGCCCTCTGGAGCCCTCTGGAGCCCCCTGGGGGTCCGCTGGGTCCTTCTGGGGCAGCAGCAAGGGACGCGCAGGTAGTAGCTAGACTCTCAGCTGCAGCAGCAGCAGCAGCAGGTGTAGGCTCACTGCATGCAGAAAGGCGTCTTCGACAGCCCCAATGTCCAGAAAAAGTCCAAACTCTGTACACCTCAGCACTATGCCCTCCACTTCCTGTCCCACCTGCAGCCCCAGGCCCCACACAGCGCGCAGGTCGCTCAGGCCTCCCCCGCAGCGCGAGGGTTTAGGGTTTAGGGTTTAGGGTTTGGGGCCGCTGGGCGTAGTCTAGCCCGGGGGCTCTGGGGCCCAGCCAGGGGCCCCCCTGTGGGCCCCAGCTGGGGAGCCCGTTGGGGGCCCCAGCTTGGGGGCCCCCTGGGGCCCCCCAGGGGCCCCTGAAGGAGTCTTACCCAGAAGGCCTCCACGGGTTTTCGCGGGGAGTGCCCTTTGGCAGTGGCTGGCGAAGGCACTGTAGTCAGCCGCATGCGCCGCCCCTCTCTGTCTATACTCTTTATGTGCACACACAGCGCGTCTCCCACCCGCAGCACATCTCCCGCGTGCTTTATCCACCCCTCCGTCGTACCCTCCACGCTGGGGGCCCCCGGGGCCCCCGAGGGGGCCCCCGGGGCCCCCAAGGGGGCCCCCGGGGACCCCGAAAGGGCCTCTGGGGCCCCTGTCAGGGTTTTTGGGGCCCCTGCCGGGGCCTCTGGGGCTTCTCCTAGAGCCCCTGCAGGGTCCTCGGGGGCCCCCGCTGGGGCCCCTGCTGCGGCCCCTGCTGGGGCCCCTTGTGGATCCCCAGGGGCCCCTGTGGCCCCCAAGGAGTTGAGGAAGGAAGCACCAGCTTTGAGGGCCCTTGGGAGGTAATGCATGTCCCTGACATGGAGGAAACCCAGGGTGTCTGTACACCCCACGTCGACGCGGCAGCCAAAAGGCATTATTGAAATGACCTGAAGGGAGGCGGAGTTCCCGGGTGTACGTACACCTGGGCCCTCCGCGAGGAGTCGCGGAGAAAGATAAAAGAAGAAGAAAAAAGAAAAAACAAAAAGAAAACAAAAGGAACAAAAGGAACGAAGAGAAGCTGTACAGACACCACGATAGAGACACAAAGGGAAGAGAGGGCTTTGCGCTGCGCTGCGCGAGTGGCAGCACCAGCAGCAGCAGCAGAGGCAGTAGCAGAAGCAGCAGCAGCAGAAGCAGCAGCAGCAGCGGCAAATGTCCCTCACCCTTCCCAGCACACTTGTGTTCTCGTGGAAGTTCTGCAGCGGCAGCCGCCGCCTTCTGGGCAGCAAGTAGGCTCGCTGCAGCAGCAGCAAAAGACAGGAGCAACAGCAGCAAAAGATAGGGGCAGCAGCAGACCAAAAGGCCATTGAAAAGGCCCATAAAAGGCCCCCGGCCAAAAAAGAAGCCCCAGAAGTGCAGCAGCAAAGAGTACTGGAAAGCAGCAGCAAGGAGACACGGGAGCAGCAGCAAAAAGGTGACAGGAAGGCAGCAGCAACGAGGGCACAGGAAGGCAGCAGCAAGGAGAGAAGGGAGCAGCAGCAAAAAGACAGATAGGGGAGCAGCAGAAAGGAGAGATGGCAGCAGCAGCACGTAGACAGGGCAGCACGCGCAGCAGCAAATAGACAGGGCAGTAGGCGCAGCAGCAAAGGACAGGGCAGCAGCATCAGCAGCAGTGGCAAGGAGGTAGCGCAGCACCAGCAAGGAGTGAAGGTAGCAGCAGCAGCAGCAGCAGCAAGGAGGTAGGGCAGCAGCAGCAGCAGCAAGGAAGTAGGGCAGCAGCAGCAGCAGCAGCAGCAGCAAGGAGAGCAGCAGCACTGTTGTGGCGCCTCTTGGGGCTAGAGAGGGGCGACTGTGCAGCGCAGAAGGAAAGGCTAGTGGGTCAAAAATGAAAAAAAAAATATAAAAAAGACAAAAATAGACAAAACAGAGACAAAAAAAGGACAAAAAATGGGACAAAAAGAGACGAAAGAGAGTAAAGCAGATTGAAAGAAATAAAAGGAAAGAAGAAAAAAAGAAAAGGGAAAGAAAAGGGGAAGAAAAAGGAGAGAAAAGGAGGAAAAGGGAAAGAAAAGAAGACAACATGAGCGAGTTAAAGACAAAAAGAGCCAAAGACAAAATGAAAAAGAAAAAGACAGAAAGACACTCGCAGCAAGTTTATGTCTTTAGTGCCTTTTCTGTCTTTGTCTGTCAATTCCTTTTTCTCTTTTTTTTGTCTCTCCGCCCCTTCTCCCCCTCTCTGCTGCTGCTGCTGCTGCTGCTGCTGCTGCTCACCCGCCTCTCTGCAGCCTCCTTGGCCTGCACGTACTCGTGCAGCTGCTGCGCCAGCCATTTGTTAGACCCCAAGTCCCTCAGGCTCAACTCTTTGCCCCCACCACCTTTCGGGGGCCCCGGGGCCCCGGGGGCCCCTGGGGCCCGTGGGGCCGGGGCCCCTGGGGCCCCTGGGGCCCCCTGGGCCCCCCTGGGCCCCGGGGGCCCCTTCTCCTCTCTCAAGCCCCCGCAGGAGGCAGCGCAGAAGGTGAAGAGACGAGGAGGGGGCACCAGGAAAAGTCCCTTGAGGGGGCCCCCCCAGGGGCCCCCGAGCGGGCCTCTGGGGGGCCCCTTCAGGGGCCCCTGGGGGCTGGCTGCGAAGCAGAGCCAGCCGGCAGCCTCTGGGGGCCTTGGGAGAGACAGGCAAAGAGAGGCAGCAGCAGCAGCTGCAGCAAAAAGGCACACGAGGATAAGCCCGGGGGGCCCCCGGGGCCTCAGGGTCACCTGGATCCCGTGAGGGGCCTTTCCAGCCATGCTGTTCCATCAGCAGAGAGCAGCAGGGCCCCCAAGAGTCCCCCTTAAATCCAGAGGCGTCAACAGTGCAGCTTAACTAAGGCGGGGGCCCCCGGGGCCGCGGCGGGGGGGGGGCGCCGGG